TTTTTATATTAGGCATTCGGCTTTCCGTTCCCAAGTCTGCTTTTTTCTTTCATCCTACAGCATGCATTTTTTTGCTTTTAAGTTTGCACTGTTCAAGTGAATTAATTCACTTGAACAGTATTCAATAGCCTCCTTTGTATTTTTTTTTTTACTAGGCATTCGGTTAAAGCTGTTTCTTCACTCTGAATAATTAGTTTATGTTTAGAAAAAAAACCAACGCATTGCCTATTATTTCTATCATGATTTTTGAGTTCAGCTTGTTATCCATGTAAAAAGGGTATGCCTATTCATGTTTAGGAACTTTTGGATTCAAGGATTTTCCTTTTGTTTTCCTTACACTCACTGGAGAACAAATCAACCGGTCCTTTTTTTTTTTTTTAGTGATTGCTCCCAAATTTATTTTGTGCTTGCTATTGCGCATTGAGTTGGCTTTGAATTTTTTTTTTTTTTTGCTTGAAGCTTATTATAAATCTTAGAATATATATGACGGTTGTTTAGTTTTTATTGCGATTTTTCTTTTGTGTTTATTTGCGATTCTTGTTTTTTTCAATAAAAAAATTTTAAAAGTTTGTTTGTGTGTTGCATACGACCAATACCCTAACATGTTTTGAATATTTTTTTTATACCAAAAAATATTGAAAGTTTTAAAAATGTGTTTTCGCATAGATTTCTTAAACAAAAAAGTTTGTTTTCTTGCATTTCTGGATTTTACAACATGTTTGTAAAACTCTAAAGGGTATTGGTCAATATTCCAAAAAATATAAAAAATCTTATTTGGGGGGGGGGAATTCATCTATTATTCACTGCTAATGTTTGGATAAAGAAATCCTTAAAGGATGAATATCCAAAATATTATTGGGAATAATTTGTTATTATTCACTGTTAATAATTGGATAAAGAAACCCAGAATGGTAAATATCCAAAATAATTTTCCAGGAATAATAAATCTGCACATACCCTTGAAAGAAGCCTTGATTATAATCGAGGATATTTTAATTTTTTTCTCCACGGTTTATGAGTCATGAGAGTATAAACACTAAGATAAAAAAAAAGATTTTTAAAGCACTCAAGATTTCTAATATTTGTCCCTCCTCTTGGCGATTTACGAATTGCAAACTCTTGAAATACCAAGGAAAAAATGAGCTTGTACAGCACATTGAATCTCCTTGGATTTCTTTCTTAATAAATTTAGTTAGAATCAAATTGAGAAAAAAACTAATGGGATTAGAAAACACCAACATCATAACAATTATAAGACAAACCAAACACCAAGCAGCTTACCTTAGGTAGGGCGTACTAGGGGTGCTAACACCTTCCCTTTACGCAACTAGTCTCTTGCCTTAGAATCTCTAAAAGACCAGTTAGGTTTTTTAGTGACCATAATACTAGGTGGCGACTCCCTTTTACACGAAAATAAAACTAAGAGACCCCAAAATCAATAGATGGTCGCCATGACGCCGCACTTCGCTCGCGAGGGTGCGACAAGATGACGACTCCACTGGGGACTTTAGGACTAAGCTTGATATTTGTTTCTTTTTATTATTATGCTATGTGTTGTTTTTTTTACTATGAATGATATTTTGTTTAAAAGCTTTAGCATGCATCTTCACATTCTATCATACATGGTATAGTCATGCATGATCACTTTATTATTATTATTATTATTTTTTAGGGAACACACAATAAACTTTAAGTTAAATGGGGGACTAGTAGCTTGCCTTATGACTTGAGTCAAGGTTTAAGTTTGTGTAAACCCCAACTCTTT